CTCAGATTAATTTCTGATCTCATAATTTACAGTAAATTTTTATTAGCAGTAAAGGCATCAAGAATTTATCTTCATTATTTGTACACAGAAAGTAAGAAAAAACTTTTACAAGTCTGCTACCTAATGTTAATAAACTAATTGTTGAAGTTTGACAGCAAAATCTGACCTGCAACTTGAAAGTCAAAAGCAGATCAGCATTTGTATAATCAGACTGTCATACAATTCTTCAGCTGGATCAGAAGTTTAAAAAGGAGCATAGCGTATGAGTTTCTAGGAGAAATACCCCATAATATCATTCTCAACAGTGAGAACAGCTGATGGCCAGGGTACAACCACTGGGATTCTCCCAGGAACAGTAACTTTACAGCCCTGTGTATCTGAAAGTGAGCTATTGCTTCAGTCATTGGCAGATTTTGTCTTTCATAAGTGTATTTCTTGCCTCCTTCCCCCACTCTCCATGCAAGTAAAGAGTCTTGAGGCATTCATGTGAGGAAACTGCTAGAAAAAAAAGGAATGTGGAGTTCACACCTCAATTTATGGTGATCAGAACAAAAGAAACATGTCCAACTCTAACAACACTCTGCAGCACTGATCAATAGGACATTATGTACCTTGCCCATAGTTTAAAAGCCATAAAAACAAATACACAATCACTTGATGTTATCAAATGCCCCACTACTGAATGGCGTGGACTGAGAGCAGTATTTAACAGGTTGTGGAATGCAAATGACTGTTCAAAACCACCAAAACTGAAAGCGAAGCTCAACAGGAATTAAAAATATGTTTTTTTTTATTCATCCCTATTTATCCTTCCTACTGTCAGATACTCTTTCGTAAGATCTAGGAGTCTCCCTACCATCACAGTGTTCTCTAGGAAGTGATAAATATCTTCCCCAGACTGCTGCCTTCCAAACCCACTCAAAACTAGGGCCTGTGGCCTGCTGTGTTTCTCTGTCCTTTGACAAAAACCAGAAAACTAAAAGTTAAAACAGTTCCCACCAGCACTGTTGACAGTACAAGCCAGTAATAGCCAGTTTAACCATGAATCAGAATCTCTGTCATCAGAAATTAAAAATACTCCAGCCACGTACCCTGATGCTTGATGGTGAAAAAAAAGGCACACATACATTTGTCACCACAATTGCTATGGAAACCTTTATCATGCACCAGGCACTGGGAAATTTCAGGCTGTTACAGCATCACGTCCATGGACGTGTCACACAAAGGAAAACAGGAATCTCATGAAAACAAATATCAATCATTAACACTTTGTCCATTTCTAATGCAGATTTGGACAGCTGCCAAAGAGAAAGGAGAAGCATCTGTGAGGCTGCTGTATGTCAAAGTCCCACACAGAGAGCGCTCATGTATGCTGACATGAGAGACAAAGCATGTTGTGCTAGAGATGGGCCAGGGAGAGGATACTGCCCCAAAGAAGGAAACAGCTGGCTGGCTGAGACCAAATCGAGCAAAACACCACCCTATCCCACATTTACAGTCTTTATTAGCTTTAGTTCAGCAAGATTTTTCAAAAGGATTGTTTTGTCTTCCTTCGCCATGATATTACAAGCATGGCTTCCAGTATTTACATGAGCCTTACCTCTAAACAACAAAAAATTGTTAAGGTTAAAATAGCCAGCCTTCTCTCTTTATCCAGACAGGACATTTCTTATGGAATTAACATTAGATTAGAAGCTAAACTTTGTTCTCTGACAAGCAGGAAAACTTCCATTATTTGAAAAAGAGAAAGTATGGGCAGAATTTGGTTGTATAGATTTACTGGGAAAAGAACCCTTTCTGGTTCAAGCTAATCTAAATACATATTTATATTCCAGATAAGAAAATGCAGATATTGTTTTGGGTCACTTGAGAGTCAGAATTTAATTTCAGCAAAAATATTAAAGATTTTATTACTTGCTCCTCTGTAGAAGAACACAGCTTACATGGTATTTAAAGTAGCTTTCTTTTTAACAGAAAACCAAATCATAAGAAGAGACTTTATTTTTTTAAAGATTAGGTTAGAAATTCTTTAGTTTTTTATTGTGGTCTTTACTTTTCAGAGATGCAACAAAACCATAAGCTTTTTCTGGAAGAAAAAAATATTAAAAAACTGCCTGTAAGTTGTAATAAAGCTTGTTTTTAGTTAAAATGGGAAAACGTGAAGCAAAATTATCTTTTGAAAAATTATCTTTATCTTGGAAGAAAATAAGCAGTAAAAAAAAAAAAAAAAAAAATGGTAAGAGGATGTGCCCAGTAATTAGGTGTGTGTTAGGTGAACATAGTGTGTACTTTATATCACAGTGAAAAAGAATAGGGGTTAATAAAATATCGAGTATAGAAATTATTAGAATTTATCCCTGACCTTAGCATAGACTTGCATGGCTAGGACACCAGAAACTTCCTAAGTGCTTCTCCAATCAGCATACCAATTTTGTTCTTTGAAGCCAGGATAACCGAAGTGATAAATATTTTAAATTTTTAATTTCTCACGGACGCAGTTAAGACCAGGGAAATTGCGGACAATCATAATAGGCTGGAATTTCTGCATTACTTAATGACATGCCATGGAGTTTTGATTTATTTTATTTGTATGGGAACAAATTCTGTTTTCTGTGGATACTTTCGATTTTTAAAAGTCTTGAGATTTTCAACCACAGCTTCCAATATTTAAAAACTCCAATTTTAATATTTAAAAAATGCTGTCTCACCAAGTTATCTGGATCTGAGTTTCAGTTTAAGGGGATAAACTTCTGAATGTACAGCCTGCCTGTAGTTGCCCAAGACATGTAGATGTCAACACTGGCTAGAAAGCAATTCAGCAGAAGGATTATCTGGTTCAGTAGCTGCCTACAGTCAGAATCTGGAATGAGGAGGCACGAATGTGCACAGCTAGTGTCATGTGAGAGATTCCCTAGGTATCCAGGACAGCTGCCTGTGACTGACAGCTACAACCACAGCCCAACACAGACTCCAGCCCGTGTACATAAACAGCCAGCGGCTGAGGCTGGAGACGCTGGATCAATTCACACAGCAACAAATGCCTGAGTGCAGACAATGTAACTGGGCCCAAGGAGTTTGCCATGAGCTGAACACGTTTCCAGGTGCACTGAGTATTGGCTTAACCTTCACTGACTGCCAGGAGTGCTCAGACACCTCGTAGGTCAACACCTACACAACGCAAGCTACTGGGTTTAGGCTTCTTAATGTAAAGCTGAACACAACTCTGTTTCATGCCCTTATGTTTTCCCACCAGTGCTCCCAAAAGAATTATCCTGGACTCAATCAGCCAGTCGAAATGACTGAGTACACACATATCCTCCTGACACAATAAGAGCACCTTGAGCTGAAAAGGAGGATAAGGCATTATTAAGGATAATGCTGAGGACGTGTTGCTGAGGACAATGGTGATGACCCAGAGGTGAGCATTTCCACTGGGAGAAATTACTGAAGTTAACATGTAAGAATTCTCTCTCAAAACAATATGGGGAACATTTTTAGAGGGCTTTTTCTTTGGTTTGCACCTCACTTCTCCGACACCCATGATGAGATTTCTCTACCTTTCTGCCCTTGAAACAGCACTGAACGCTGCCATCCCCACAGCGGTTCCTTGCCTACAGCTATCCCAGGGCATTTCATGTAGAGATATGAGCTCCAAAGACTGAGCAGCTGTTTACAAGCATTAGGCAAGAGACACTCTCTGAGCAACTGAAATGTGGGAGGTGGGGGTCCAAACCCAGAAGGAAAGGACACGGGTGGCAGCACAAGTTAACATCAACTAGAGGGCAGCCCACAGGCTCAAGAATCAGCCTCAGGTCCTCAAGAGAGCTTGTTCAGAGCTACAGTGCCACACAGAATTACAATCTCTCTCTTCACCAACCCCAGCAGCACAGATGCTGAAGATGCTTCTCTGTATAGTCCATACATCAAGAGCCTATTGTGAAATGTAAGTGCAGTGGTCATCTCCAGTACCATATGGATTTCTTACACAGTTCTGTTAAATGAAGCCTGGCACTGCAAGGATACTGTGCATTCAGGCCAAGTGCTTTGAGGGTTCGTAAATCAATCAGTCTTTGAATGGAAAATTATGTTTAGAAACTAAAAAATCTAAATTAAATGCTTGCATGTCATAATGAAAATCTTAAAAAAATTGCCAGTCAATATGATGATAAAGCTCTAACATTCAATTATGATTCTGAAATATAAAAGGTCCTCATAGAAATCCTGATTTGGGCAACTAAATTGTGCTAAGACAGTTCCACAGACCAAAGCTTACTTCCCACAAAGCATACGAAGCATACAAAAAGCCCGAGTTTCTCAACTGATTCCACTAAGTATGGCATTGGTATTGGCTTAGTAATTTATTTGTTTTTCTTATTTCCTTGCTCTTCCATATTTTTATAGCACTCAAATAATTCACATTTCATTTTTGCTATATGTAATGTTTCCTCTCTGCTGGTCTGTTTCTTCCTTAGAACTGAAGTTAGGTCCCTAGATTTCCACGTCTTCAATTACAGCTCACAAGACAAAGTTCTACTATTCTTAAATAAAGCAGAACTAATTCAAAGCAGTGTATCTAATTAATCAAAACAGCTACAGTGCAATATTTAAAATAACTGAGGTTCTGCCTGGATTATAGCAACATTATTAGCATGTGATTAATAAGCAGTTGAAGTATTACATTTGCTACACATTTGCTAAGCTATTTCATCTTGCTTTAAAGTTTGGTGGCAAAGTTTCAAGCCATAGTTAGGAGATTTGCTCTATTCAGTATTATGTTGTTAACCCCACCATCTGGTCAGACAGCTGAGGGAACTTAACCATATGTGGGGGGCATATTTCTCTCTTGGGAAATATTTTTCTTACAGAATTATGCAATGGTTATCAGTTTCTATCTTACTACAGTAGGATCAAAAATATACTAAAATACTTTTTAGACAACCTGAGCTCAGTGGGCCCTGTATTTAACTGTTAATTATGTAAGAAAATAAGATGGCACTTACTTGAGGACCAGGCTGACCCTGAAAAAAAAAAGAAAAACAAAAGATTATGGAAAGCTATGACAAGGATGAACTCCTTAAATAGTAGAAAATAGTTATAGTGATCTCTAATAAGGAGCTAACAAAATATACACTGCACTGAAGTCGCATTTTGGGCTCTTAGGTTGATATTGAATTTGAGTGTTTTAATTCAAACTGATGAACTTTCTTGCAAATAACTGATTCTAGAAATAAATTGCAATAACATATTAAAACTGCATTTGAGAAACTTCTTAGTTTAGATATCATAAACAATTTGGAAATGATAGGAGGACTTAATTAACAGTTCTCAAGTGAGAAAGAAGCCAGAGGTGCTGAGCTGATTCAGAGCAGGTATTATGGGTTTTTCTCTTCCATTTCTTTATTACAGCTCACCTCCATACCTCAAGGAGATGCTAATTATTTATTACAACTGCTTATTGAATGAACAAAGTCTCAAAACCGGAGGAACACACTGCTGGACAAACAGTAGTCTTTTTGCCTTTGCTACAGCACCAGAGTTTTAAGCAAGTATAAACCACTATTTAAACCAGCAATTGTGGAAGGTCCGAGATAAACTTTTGTCAGTCAGTCCAAGAAGACAGCTGATACATTTCCTCTCCCTTATTTATCAACACCCCCTTTAGATCACCCCTGGACAAGTGGAGAGGCACCCTTTGCGCACTGAGGAACTGTATTTCTTCTTACTGCAAGCTCTTACAGAGTAGAAATCCTATCCCTAATTTCCCTAGACCTGAAAAACCAATGAAAGCCATGAATTATTTTACTGGCCTTAACAGAAATTGCTTGCATGAAGCAGAATTATTTTAGCAAACAGTACAATAGCTGTGACTATAAACAACATGACCCAGACTATCAGCTCACAATGTAAGACAGAGGAAAATAATTACATATTTCTCCTTAGAGAGAATTCCTTTAAATGCCTAGGGCTAGCTTAGCTTCTGGTGTTTTATGACAATTAAAATAATACTTTAGTTAAACTGAAACTATGTTTCCTTTTGTTGATAGAAACTGAGCATGGAGACTTCTTTTAAATCTTATAAAACCACTTCAGATGGAAGGTACTTCTACAGAGAGTTGAAACTTTTCTGTCTGAACATCAGGAAACATTTTTTTACTGTTAACCAAGCACGGGACCATGGGAGATCGTGGAGTTTCCATTCTTGAAGACATTCAAAAACCATCTAGACATGAACCTGGGCAAACTGCTCGAGACTACTTGAGCAGAGAGGTTTCACCAGATGACCTCCAGAGGTCCCTTCCAACTTCAACCATTCTGTGATTCTGGGCAATTTTAGATGGGGTGGGAGGCAGAAGCATTTCAACTGGGAACCATTATCAACAAGAAAAGCAAATGAAGAAATGCTTTTTATAGTGACTAATAAAACTTCTTGTGCCATTTAATAACCACAATAAAAGGTATTTAAATTCACAAAAAGCTTTAAAAATATTTTTTAAATATATGGAATGGTGTTACAGAGGAATAATACTAAAATACAGAATTATTGTGGCTATCTAATCTTTACACTGAATGCAGCATAAAGTTGGGGATGCTGCAGTTTTCTATTTATTTATTAGAACAAAACTGCACCATAGAGAACACAAAAAACCCCAACCTTACTGGCTGAGGTTGGCAGTTCAAATATTAGCTAAAACTTTGAGTTGGTGAGCTTGATGAAGTTACACATCATGCTGGGTTAATGAATACGATTGAGACTCCTCAGCACTCATATATTACCTCCATCTTCCCCTCACAGCAGGTTTTAAACTATTTTATGTTATGCCTGATCTTAAAATCATCAGAAATTGCTTATAGAAGCAGTACTGGGCAGCTGGTACAATAAAATTGTATCAATTATCTAAACGGAGGTCTGTGCCTGCAAACTTTATACAAAAAATTTAGAACACATTTGCTCACAAAAATATCTAAAGCTGCAATAGATTTTGACCAAATCATTAAATGCTGTCTCCATCACACACACACATATATATATACATATGTGTGTGTGTCTATATATATATATATATATATGTAAAGCCAAAACTTAAATGAAGATCTGAAATTACCAAAATGTTTCAACAAAGAGTTGATTTAAAGCAGTAGAAAGCAAATAAACTGAATATATGCATATATATTTTAACAATGAGATTTGAAAACTGACTTTTTTTCCTTCATCTAAGACACAGAGGCTGCTAAGGGTCCACATGGTACATGCTATATGTATGATACAAGAGACATACACACATAACACAAACATATCCTGAACTGAGTATGAGGTGAGGGTTGCAATCACGCTCCCACGAAAGTGTTTTATACTCTCAACAGCACCACTACTTGGCCTTTCAGGTACTGAGCATTTATAATTACTCTTCTTTCCTGTCTCCAATACAGAAAAAGCTGGAAAATGAATTTTTATAAGACAGTGTTTTTTCAAGTAGACAGAAAACTCTAAGATATTGGGGAATATAATCACTGCATTACTCTTAGTTTATATATGCTGCCAATATTAGAATTATCCTGCATTTAGCTATAAATGCAGATGCTGAATACAAAAGTATTCAAAAGCAGGATGATTTTAACCCCTTGGCTATTAGCTCCTTCAGTATGGAAGGAAATTTGCATTAATGAAAGTTATTATTTTCTGGTTTTTACAATGGTTCCTAATCCTTCAGTATTTCTTAGCAGTCTTATCTACTCCTTGCTCTACTATCCACTGCAGTTACAGTAGACTTTTCCCTCCTCAAAAGCGATCCAGTAAGTGACACTACCCAAAGGGTGCAGAAAGCACTGAGTTATGGAACTCATCAGCTCTTCTTACAAAGGTATGGGTAGAAAAGCATCAGAACACTGACATTTTTAATTGTAAAGGGTTATTGTCACACAACAGCAATTCAATTAGGGGCTGCTAATTTCGCCTTCTCTTGTTTTTGCATGTTGTGAAAGGGTCAGGAAGAAAGCTCCTTGTGTTACTTTGGTGCTCATTAAAGAACTCTCTAACATGAATTCAATCTGATATCATAACTCATTGGAGCAAGCTCAATCTCAATTTATATGCTTGTGTTCCCAAAATGACCTCAGGACTGCTGAAATCAGTCTGGTTCACTGCTGCATAAATGGCCCCCAGTTCATGTTACTTGTGGATTAAAATGTTTTAGCTGTAAGTCTTTCTCTAAATTTTAAATAACCAACTAAATAAATAATACTAAATAAAATACTGTTCAAGACTGAAAAGTCAGCATTACTCTGATTTTTGTCTAATGAATATCTCTTTATTCAAATCTGTTACATACTCTGAAACTGATTAATTGATTCTAGCTACCAACTAATTGCTGTCTTTGCAGGCATTTAGGGATCAGTCCCACCACCACTGACTAATTAGGTGCATTTTGATGGCTGGTGCTTTGAACCTCAGATTATTGCTCATATACTTGATTATCCCAACTGTATGCTGCTTTTTATATTATTATTTTTTAGATCTAAATTACTACAATGGGTATAGCTGCTAATATCTCATGGTTTCAGTAAAATCTCCAGACAATTTTCCCTTCTATATTCCTATTTACTGGCTTAATACACTATTTTGAGGCAAACAAAGGGATTTGGTAACCTATTCTAATTGCCATGATGGAAGGTCTTCTACTGTCGCCAGTTAATCCCTTCCTAGAAATTGAAACCAGTATTAGCTGCTGTTATATAAATGATATTAAAACAAAAATTAAAAAATCCATGGTGTGACTAAAGTCAACAGGCAAGCTATCAATCCCCTAAAAGAGATTAAATAAAAAGCTTATATTGACTGCATGTTGCAAACTTTACAGACAAATTACTTAAAAGTAGAAAGAAACCTCAAAGAGCAAAGAAAGAGGAGAAAATGAAAGCTGACACTGCAAGTAAACAAGTTGAGCTTGCAAAGGAAATGGAGCTTGTAGTAAGTAAAAGGATAGAAAAGAAAATAAGTATCCAGGGTATCAGTGAAAAGGGGTGCCCTGGGAAGGGAGAAAAGAGACGGAGTGAAAGGAACAGCAAGAGAAAGTGCCAAAACTGGATTTTCACACCTTTTTGCCATGGTGTTAATCTTTAAAGAGCTGGGAACATAAACTTCCAGGTTCATACATCTACACAAAGAGCTGTACAAATATACACACAAGTACAAATGTGTTAACAAATGCATTGTATTTGCATTGTAAATTAAATGTTATTTCTAACTTAATTCAAGCAGCATATCCCTAATGAATACCTGGAATATCAAACAAATGCATTTATTACGGTACATGAGGCTGTTCAGATTTAATCAGCCAACGCAATCCAGGCACAGAAATTAAAACACAAAAATTAAGAATTTGTGAAAGAAGGAAGAGTCACAGAAATGTAGTCAGCAGTGATATCCTGCTGTTTGAAAGGCACCACCAAACTACCCTTGGACAGAGCACCCAAGGAGGAACATCTGCCTTCCAATCTAATTCAGACAGAAAATGAAAAGTGAAGAGGAAGAGCACAGCTGACCTCCATTTCCTTGCATAGGCACAAAAGACTGAAGTGGCTCTTCAGTAACCTGTTAAAAATCCATGCTACTGGATTGCTACTGCTATGCTAAGTTATGCTGAAGGAAGACAGTATTTGACTAATACACATTTCAGCATAAGCAATTTTAAAAAGCAAAGAGGGGAACATGTGAAAGACCTAAATTACACTGGTTTTGAACAAATCACCTACCAGCTTTCCATCCATACCAATCGGACCCTGGGATAATCAAAAGTCAAAACAAAATGGAACAGTTAAATCAGAGTAACACTGAAGATGAGAGGGAAAAAAACAGACTTGGGGAATACTGTGGACTTTAGAAGACGAGCAACTGTGTCAGCAGCTAAATGCAATACATTCTGAGAATGAAGGCACAGAAAAGAAACAACAAAAGAAGCAGACCTAAGACAGAATTAATAAAAACAGTATGGTGGGAAGTAGCCAAGCTGATGTTTAACAGAAGACAGTTTCAACATGCAATGAAGGAATGGTTAGTCTGGCAGATCACAGTGGTCCAACATAACCAAACATATGAAATAATGCATCTTGCGTTATTTTATTTCTGTTACTTCTTTAAATAACAGAAAACAGCTACTTACTTAGCCCATTTATTTACGTGGTTGCAACATAAAATCTCATAACTACTCTGTATTTAAATTTACATTATAGAAATTATTGTAAATAAGAAACTTTAGTTCACACCATCCACAGGGATACTAAAGATTTCCACATACACCTTCTCTGAGAAGTCCTGTACCTTACTCCACTTTCTCTTTTTTCCTTTGGGAAACATGGTATTTTCCTCACTAGTACTTCACAAGTTACTTATTTTCTTAAGAGTCCAGAAGCTGGTTGCAGTTATATGAATGCAAATTATGCAAAGGATTTAAAGTGGATGTATACTGCTGTAACGACTAATTGGTCTTGTATCAACTGCCTGTTTAGGTGATCAGAGGAGAAAGAAGAGGGCTAAAGGAAGTTGGATTAACTTTAAATGTGATGTTTATTTGCTATGTCTTCTGACCGTGGGCAGTCAGGTTAACTTTCACTGGCAATGGAATAAGAGCAAGCAGAGTATGGCAGTTTTCTCTGCCCTTAAATGAATGTTTTAAGCTGAAATCGTGAGCTCTCAGGTATTTGCCCTATGAATATGGGACACTACTTTGTGTCTGCTGAAGAGAAGCTTTCTCTTAAATGCATCCAGACTTTCCCCCTGGAGCTTCACAGGCAGCCCTCTCCAGTCTGCCCCTCCTAAGCATACAGCCCCTAGGGCTGACTGCTCACACTGCTAGATTTGGATCACTGCTGCTGAGGAGAGAACACATAAAATATTTGCTGTTTTTATGCTGATCTATTTTATCCTTGCTGCATTTAGCCCCCTTCCTAAGCACTACTCTGGCTTGTGGGCTAACAATCAGTGTAAAAGTTTAGGCTAAATCAGGTCTGCAGGGGCTCTGGTGCTACTTCATCCAGGAGTGCATATTCATACCTTCTGCACTATGACTAATAAATAATAATATGTACTACATATAGGTAGACATATAGTGAGCTAGTTCAACAAGCCATCAAGAAAACTATAAGCACTATGAAAAACTGCTGCCATATCATCCAGTGAGTTCCCTCAGTATCTGTCTTCTCCCACCCTAGATCCTGGACTATGCCAAAAATTCCAGACATACTTAACATGAACAGGGCCATCAGCTGGATGCACACACTGTCAAACTCATTATTTTTGGTACAGTATTGGCTTTGTGAGAAGCCCATGCACTAACCTACTTGTCAGACCCAATAACAAGTTACTGGGTCTGGGAAGCCCTGCGGGAATAAAATGCGTTACCTCACTTTCCTGCCAGCCCTCGCTGTGTTTCCTGTCACATCATGAGTGGGTGACATGCTGAGAGTGCAAAACAGGTCATCAGCATCCTGGCTGTCTGCATGGCCACTACCTCATTTATGTGCTGACATCCTAGGGAAGTTTGTGACTGCTGGGACGACCTACTCTATCTTTCAGATGTTATCTCTGAACAGTCCTTCCCTGGTAGCAAGGAAGAAGAAAGCAACACTATCCAGTGGATTAAAATGCTAGAGCTTTTATTATTGTTTCCTCTGTGCCTCTTGATTCCATACATGCAGCACACACATAACACTTACTAATTTTCTCATAATTATTTAGCAAATTTCTAAATACGGTTCTATACACCCCAAAAATTAAGGCATTTCCAAGTTATTAGTTACCCCAGATTTTTCCTAGCACTGGGTACTACAGGATATATACCTAGTAATATTTACACACACAGTCTGCTGCAGGTACAGAAACAAAGGCTGAGCTAAACTCTGGCTACGAATAACTTTACGTCTCGAAAACAAGCTAGAGATATTACCAGTTAAAACACTCAACAGCGGGATCATGGTAAGCATATAAAGTTCCCCTCAGGGCTTTGTGGGACAGCAGATAAGTTTAACTGCTAGGTTAGCCCAAAAGATTTAATTATGATGAATGAATGCAGAAAATGATTATGCAAGTATTTGTAGAAGGAAGATTAGGGGGTTAAACTGGCTTACAGCGACCATTCAACAGCTCTTGCACCTGTATTAGCGCTTGTATTGTCAATATAAGCACTGGTTTTAGAGAATGTTTCTTTATCATAGGAAAAAAAACCCACTATTTGTGCTTCTTTACAATGACAGGTGTTTTAAAACTACTATTGGATTTTTGCCTGCTCTTTATCCATGCTACATAGCTCCTGTACTTAAAATAAAGGACTATATGTAGCATCTTGAGGAGTCTCTGAAAGAAGATTCAGAAATTCCCAGCAGACTGCAGAGAAGCATCTGCTTCTCTACAGGAATGGAAAATAATAGGAATTTCTCCCATGACTCCATTTTTACCAGGGCTATTTGGTCTGACATCTCAAAATGTCTTTTGGGATTTGCTTTGCAGAACACAGGAAGAAAGCAAAACTGTCTTGAGACACACTGCCTTCCAGAAGAAAAAAATACTGTGAAACAGAATACTATTCCTTCATTATAAAAATACTGACTCTAACAGCCAAACACGACAATTTCCTTCTTTGCTAAATTACTTCTTTCTAGTGTTAGAAAGAGAGAGAAAGCACTTTTTAAAAACCAGAAAAGATTAGAAACTCCACCAAAAAATACAGGCTGGATGACAAAGATGAGCTGAAATAGTACATGATGTTGCTTCAGGATGCACTAAGAAAAATCCTATATATGACAATATTTATTGAAATTCATTACAAGATTGCACTGGAATTCCAAGTAATTTTCTTGATATAAGGAAAATTTAATTTTTAATTAATTTTTAAAAAAGAATTCAAGCCAAAGTCCATCTTTGACTTAAACATTAACGTCTTCAGAGCCACGCTATGTAGATCAAACCACTTTCTATAACATAACTGCCACTACTGATTAGCAAGTAATTTTTGTCAAAATGTACCAAATACATGGTCTTCCCTAACACAATCCCTGTAGTGCAGTTTAGAAAACTAGACAAGACAAAGAATCATGAAGAACTGGATGAGTAGGTTTAGACAACACATGTACACAGTGTTTCTTCTGGACTGTGTGTTTTCCCTCTAGGTTTCCACTACCACTTTTAAACATATGCTATGGCTGGATGCAGCAGGTTTTGCTGGGACAGAGTTAAATTTCTTTGCAGCAGTTAATGTGGGGCTGCATTTCTGCTGAAAATGGTGTTGATAATAATATAGAGATGTGTCAGTGAGTGCTGAGCAGTGCTTATGCAGCATCAAAGCCTTTTCAGCCTCTCAGCCCACCCCAAGAGAGAGGGGACTGGGGGTGCTCAAGGACTTGGGAGGGGACACAGCTGAGACAGCTGATCCCAACTGATCCAAGGGGTAGTCCATACCACAATGTATCATGCTCATATATATAAAGCTGGAGGTAGAAAAAGGAAGGAAGCTTACATTCAAAGTGATGCCTTTGTCTTCCTAGATAACCACTAGCTGTGATTGAGCCCGCTCTCACAAAGAGGGCAGAATGCCTGCCTGCCCACACGAATTAATTCCTTGTTAATTGAGTTAATTAATTAATTCCTTGTTAAGTGAGTTAATTCCTTGTTTTGCCTGGCTTGTGTGCACACCTCTTGCTATAACTATCAAACTGTCCTTGCCTCAACCTACAGGTTTTCTCACTTTTAGTCTTCCAAATCTCTTCCCCGTCCCACCAGGGGAGTTTGAGTGAGTGTTTGAGTGTGGGTGCTGAGTTGCCAGGTGGGTTTAAACCATGACACTATTTACTTACACTATTACATGCACTTATTTCCCCCCCCACCCCGGAATCCTCAAAAGTTGTTTGTACAGTAGATTTCTTTTTTCCCAAGTAGTACCCGACTATTTACCTAGCACTTAACCACCTGTTAGTAATCCTATAATGGACAGGTACAACACATGAGAGATAAGAAGAGAGTATGAGTCGCATTTCAGGCTGGTTTTGCAAAAAGTAGCTTCCACTTCTCAAGAATACTGAAAATAGGATGTCTCAAGCAAAAATATGTTCAGTGCTTCACAAAATCAGCTGTTTTCCATTTAAGCAATATCTTTTTTCTTTTTTGTTACTCTGCAGGTAAATATTTTAAGGATTTTAAGGGTTTTTGTTAGAAAGTGACTATGTAAGCAATGGCATCAGAAACCTTTGGAGAGTTTCTGTCAAATAGATGGCAAATGTTATTACTTCAGGCACTTTTAATGCAATAATAATTTCTTCAGAAATTTCTCACTGAAAAGGTAAGAAAAGATATCGTATGTTGAAATTTACTGTGTGATAAAAGAATCCTCCAAGCAAAGAAAAAAAGAAGATATGGATTATCTTCTTACTCTTAACTTCTCCACTCATACTTCAGTGATCTTTTTCAATTAAGGAATACTCATCAGAACACTGAGTTGTGAGCCAGGACAAATAATAAACAGAAAATAGATATGATTCCTTCTTTATAAGCTAAAAAACCACATCCTATATAAAGGTGTTTTCTTTATTTGATCTTTTGTTTGTTTTGATTTGGTTTTTTCAGAAATCAGAAACTCTTATCCTGACAAAATTATGTGCCTAAATTTGTTTATATTTATAAGACTATCTAGTATAAATGCAATTGTTAGATTGTTACTTGCAGGTGCCTGGAAATCTCTCATGTTAATACACACACAACTGGAGATTCAGGAGAAAGCACACATCAGCTTCAC